ACGTCTCTGTTTGCTCATGCTATTATGCGTGATGCGGTGGGGCTTTCACACTTTAGAGGCTGCGAGGGTTCAAGTAAGCCTGTTCGCTCCGCTGTATGTCGTGGTGGAGCGTCGTGTGTAGGGCCGCCTGGCGAAATGGCATCGCGTCTGACTACGATAAAACAAGGCAGGTTGTTCTCGTAATCAGGAGATTGCAGGTTCGACCCCTGCGGTGGTCAATGTCATGACTTCCTTGGTTTTTGATGTATGATTCGTTCGCTGTCAGTTCGCTGTCAGTCCCACGGCAAAATGACGAGTAGCGCAGCAAGAGCGGTGAACTCCGATGTGAATGATTTTCTCGTCAATCCAGTCTCCTTTCGGACACGCGAGCCTGAGATTGTAAACTGCCACTACGATGTATAAAACTCAAAGTGCTGGGGCCAGTGGCTCGTGAGTAGCCTTAACCAAGGTAAGCGTTTGTTCGGATCACCTCATCTCTTGTGAAATAGTCCTTAGGACTGTTTGTTAATCTCACAGCATCCTCGCCCTGTAACGGGGCTATCCGAATAGGGTATATTGCCAATTCTCCCTCCTTTATTTTCGTTTCTATTTACTAATATTTACATTATCATCTTTACTACTCACTACCACAATCGTCGTACCTTCGTCTATATCCAGAATAGAAAGAGGTCACACTAGCGATTGCGTGTGAGAAGTAAGGACCTGTTACACGCCCGCAAGTCGCAATAGCGGATTAGGGAGATGACACAGGGATGTGAGAATCTCGGGGCTTCAGTAGTTATACATGTACATTGTACATGAACTCAAGTTTCGGTTATCTATAGGCGTGGACTGCCAGTAGGGACTTGAACATCAAAGAGGCTCTTCCATTATGACCCTTGACACCTGATCTCAGCATCAACTCCCGCCAGCCTCTCGCCTCAGCTCTTTCGCCCATGCACCACTTATCCTTAATCGGCGGCGGCGTAAAAGTAGTCCTGTGGAGTTCGTGGTTCCATGATTTGGTGCCTGAAATAATCCTTCAGCGAGACGGCTTTGAGGTGGAAGAGAATTGCTCACTCGTCTCTCAAATGCTCTCGTAGGACTTCCATCGACCAAAGTTGTTCGGCGTTGACGGTACAATGGGCGCATGACCAGCAAACTCGATGATCCTTCAGATTCAACTCTCGTACCTCCTCTTGTGTGAGAATCTGGAATAACGGATTATCACGTCCCTGGTCCAGAAACTCGTGAGTCAAAGTGTCGTATGAAGTAGGGAAAGACGGGTAGCCTTGGATGACTTGGGTAATCTGCGTGGAACATTGAGTGTTAGCGACAATCTCAACTCTTGTAGTATTCTGACTTATAGAAGGATTGAGATTACCTGAATGTCGCGCCCCTGGTCGTTTATGTCCGGGCTACTGATAAGGCGGAGCTCTTGAAAAGCGTGATTAATCTACATAATCGTCGAGTGTCATGAGCGAACCCCTCTAAAGCAAAGTAAAAAAAAA